TCTCAAGAGGTTTGTTGACAAGTCTCAAGGTACAGCTTTTGTTATGAATGACAAGTCAGAAGAGTATGAATATGATGTATGTGAATGGATATTAAATAAAAAACGTAGATGTAGTAATGTGTGTTATGTTATATGCAAGTGTATACTATGGACTAATAGGAAGCCTGTGTGTTTGTCTCAATAGGCAAGTTTTAGTTTCATTGATTTGCAGTATGATAGAGTGGATAGCATTGGGCAGGCAAACACACACCAAAAACTACTGATGGTTTTCAAAGTTTTTGAAAGGATTTTTTCTCTTATTTTCACAAAGATATGTAAGAAGGCTGTTTGGCAAAGAATGGTGTTCTAAGAATCTTATTCCAAGAAATGGAGAAATCATAGCCTTTAGCTGTATTATCATACCTTACTTTCTTTTACAGTTCTTAAGATTTTTATTCTTGTGTCTTGATTTCAAAGCCCAGTGTCAGCCTGGTCATTAACGTGATTACAAAACTCTGACTGGACATCAGGTTTGCATAGAGTATGACCTGTTTTCAGTTGCTGTGTAGCTTTCATGGATTCATAAAATCTTTAGAAGTCAAGAGTGTAGGCACTGTGTGTTAATCATTATGTTTGCTTGGAGCTTCTGTTTCCAATATAAAGGTGAAAATGACAATATTTATAAAGTGATGAGAGATCTTCAAACAGCATGGCATATACAGAACAAGTCCTGTTTACCAGATGGACGCAGTGGAGTGACCCAGAGGTCAGAAGATACACTCAATAAAAGGTCACATGTGTGACAGCCTCTAGCTACCATACACGTCCATCTAAGGTTTAGACATATTTGGGTTTGCTGGGACAGAAAAAGGAAAATGGAATTGCCTTTAACTTGCATCATGACTCCTCTACCTTTTAGCAGATACCTTGATTTGAAAATCATAGTGATTGATAGTGTCATCCGTTACAAAGTCAAATGATTCGAAGGTCATGTATTATAATAAATCGTGTTTTGTTTCCAATCCTTTTTCTCTTTTTTCGTTTGTGAGTCACTGTTGGGAATTGAGTGATGCAATTGAGCCATGTTCTGAAAAGCTACAGAGAAGAATGAAGCAGGCATGCCCTGTGCTTGCCACCCAGCTTGAAGGCACATGAGCCGGCCTGTTTACACTTTAATGTCTTTGTTGCTTTCGTCTGCATCTTTGCGAGGAAGATGTCAGGACTTCAGGCCACCTGACCACAAAGAGCCGGTGATAAATAGAGTGGAGAGGCGGAGGAGTGTCTGGGGGTGGAGAGCTGCTGATCCTGACATCTCTATAATAAATCTGTTGTGCCCCAGAGGAAGCTGTGTCCTTCAGAACTTTCCGAAAAATAAGCAAGGAGGTGACAATTTAGTACAGAAGTGATTACCTCTCTTTGCAGCCCCCTTCTGGGCTGAAAGTGCTTGGGGTGGGGGTGGTGGGAATTGTGTAGATTTGCAAACAAATCCAGGGCTGAGAGCTAGCTGGTCAACACTTAGCCCAACTCACACTTCCCTCCAGGAGAAATGCAACTCCCGCTGAAGTGAACTTTGCCACCCCGGTCATGCTCCTGGGTGTCTCTGAGAGTTGCTATCCAGTCATTAAATGCTTATGCTCCATTCCCGAGAGCTATTAGCCAGAAACTATACTGGTTTCCCTGCTGACAGCAGGTGGCTTTCATCTTTGACCTGGGTTTTTGGTGTGTTTGTTTTTATCTTTTTTATTCCTTGAGGGGCTGGGAAGGCTGCTGGAAGGATTGGCAAGAGCATTTAAAGATTACGGTGGTCAGTGGCTTGCAGTGTTCACTTGTTGCGTCTATAAAATGCAGACGCAGTGTTATTCTTTTCCTAGCCAACACATCTGAGACTAGAAGAGTCCTAAGAATTTCCTCGTGGTTACTCTCACTTATGGGTGATGATGCCAGTACAATGGGGAGGAAATGTTTGAAATGGAGCATTTATGATGTTTAAAGAATGTTTGAAAAAAATATGGCTGTTCCTAAGATACTGCCCTCCTGTACGCTTTGTGAAGGGATTTCATGGATACTTGTTGTTTAGTAAAATACTTTGAACACCTCCTCTGTGATGGAGCAAAGCCAACTGGTGATTATGTTGTGTGCTTGGTTGCTGAAAAATGCAGGAAGTCAATACTCAGATTCTACAAATATAGGCAAAGAAAAGTAATAAGTAACACCAATATATCAGAATAGCACATTAAAATAAACATGTTTTACTGGAGCTTGCTTGGTACAACTTATAATCTGCTAAAAAAAATGAAGTCTAGTATGTTACTCCCAAAAGAGATAAACCAAGGATCCCAGAAAAATGAGGAAGTAATTTATCTTGCATTTTACTTCATTTAAAATTCTCTTGCATTTTCTCACTGGAATCCTTTTCTGCGTGAACACAGAATTCATTATTATATTAGGAAGAAAGCCAGTATTTCCTTCCATTTAGACTAAGATCTAGATTACTATTTATAAAGTGATATGAGGACATTAGCATTAAAAATAAGTCATATCTAGATACGTCTGCCAGCATATCTACAGACATTTGAAATCATCCAACCTCTGGCTGAAATATTGGTTTTATTGTGACGCTATAACACTGAGATATTGCAAGTACCAGATACAAGATCGGCAGTTGCAAAGATGTTTGCTGCCTGAAGGTCTTTACGTAGAATATATTCTGCATATTCTTAAAAGGGCGTGGATGATTTCATGTCTTTGCTAATTAGGAGAGCTATTGTTAATTCTCCATTGTGTGCTTAATAATATACAGACACGTTGGCTTGGTTTTATAGTCTTCCTTGATCTCAGTCCAGTTTCTTTTTATAACATTTTATGCTGCTATTTTAATTGACCCCAGTCTTCAACTAACCGAGTTTGCCTTGGTTCTCCGTGCATGGTCTGGATTGTTCTGGACATGCCCTGGTTCTCTGTGCATGTTCTGGATTGTTCTGGACAAGCCCTGGTTCTCTGTATATGTTTTGGGTTGCTCCACTCATGGTTCTTCTCTGTGAAGTCTGACCCTTCTTACCCCTGTATTGAGTAGCGTACATTGGGTCTTCCAAGAAGCCCAACCTCATTTTCCCTTCAGAAATTTCAGAGGCGACTCAAACTACTTGGCTCTTTATAGCTTTTTCATTGAAAAAAACACCTTTTTTTTTTTATACTAATTTTGCCTTGCGCTTCTAGCTGTTCCTTGACTTGAATGTGCATTTACATGGCAGCTGACAGGCAGAGTGTTAGTAACAGCTAGTCTGGGTGCGGGGTGAAGGGAATGCATCTTCTGGTGAGAATTAGAGACTGAGAAAAACCAACTGGAGGCCACTGTGTTTTTGTTATCAACAGTTCTAATCAGTATCAGTGACAGAAAACTGGAGAAGTCTTTTGCTGGTCTAAACCATCAGCTGAGATCATTATTACATTTTTGTTTGCATAAAGATATGTAGTATATTTGTAATGTTTAATGTGCTTATACATTAAACACACAAATAAGAGCACACAAGCATATACGCACATGTAAACATGTGGTACAAACTCAGCCATGTGTGTACACCAAATTTTTTGATAATTTGGAAAAATGTGAAGCCGGGAACTATGATAAAAAATTTTGCATTATGCTATTTTTTACAAATGCAGATTTTTTTTTAGCTCATATGTGAAATATTTTTTATAGTTCTTCTGCCTTTGTTTCTAAATTATTTTTTGTGTCCCTTGATATACCCTGACAGTACACATCAAGAGAACACTGCACATTACTTTCTCAGAACTATTACTGCAAATTAGTCTGTGTTTGGCGGAGGAGAGTATGAAGGCTGTGACGAGCAGATTTCCCGGGGAGTCCTGGGCAGCAGGGCTGCGGGCGTCGGGTGGAAGGAGGCGGTGACCCGTGGGCGGTGGTCCCCCTGCACTCTTCCTTTATCGTCATCAACTGGAAGCACGTGTGTGAATGCTCTTCTTGGGGAGGCGTTTAGATCCTTTTCCTGTAGTGTAATTTCAAAGTTAAAAGAAACACAGTGAAGGTCTTTCCTGGATATTCAGATGTGAGACCTGCCAGCTGAATTTTTTTTCACCTTACATAATATAAAATGCAAGGAGAAGTAGATTCATGGCAAAATGTCTCCAAAATTTTTTTTGAAAGTTGAAATTAAGTGACAGCAACGCTGGTTCAGTTAACTAAATCACGAAGTCCTATAAATTTAGTGTTCACGGGGCTCCATGATTTTTAAAATAAGAATTGAATCTTTTATGCTGAATTAACATAATCTTGTTTATTCTGTTTTAATTGCTTAAATGTGTGGTTTGGTAAATGCCTAAGGAAGACTTTTAATGAAATATTTCTGCATGAAGATAAAGCATGGAGAACACAGAGTAATATTTTTAGAGATTTTTGTACTTGAGTGCTTCTATTGTATTGATGTTTTATTTATAATGTGCTGATTTGGAAAATAATAACTTAGGTCTTTCTAGACATATTCTAATATTTTTGTTAGACATAAAGAATGCAAGTCAATGTGTATTGGCATGTATATACATATATATTCCCTTCCATTATAGAATAGTGCAGGTCATTCAGTTTATTCAAGTTACCCGGTACTATGTTAAGCACTTTACACAAATGTTTCCATTTAATGATTACAATAACTTTTCAAGGCAATAATTATATTTAATTGATGAGAAAATAGAGACTCGGAGAATTGAGTAATATATTGTAGGTCATGGAGCAAAACATTTGCACAAATAGGACTTGATTCCAAGGCCTCTTGTTCCTCCAGCCTTGCACACACAGTCTCATTCCAAGGGGGAAAGGGCTGGTGTGGCTTTAACTCAAGCCTAACAAGAGTGCTTGAGGCGCAAGGCAGGAGCTGCTCTTCAGCGATTCCAGTATTCAAGGGTTAAATAAAGATCCAGGCTCCGTGTCTTTGCGAGCCTGTCAGTGACCCATTTTAGTGGGTGACAGATGCATGTTCGTGAATCTTGCTGCCCCCATCTTTCAGAATGACGTAGGAGGACAGCGCAGCCTGATTAACAAGTGGACGACGTTCCTGAAGGCCAGGCTGGTTTGCTCCGTTCCTGGAAGTGACGGTGCCGATACACACTTTGACGAACTGCGTAAGTCACAAGTTCCTTTCCTCTTGGAGAAGCTTTACTGCATCTTTAAGCAAGTTAGCAGATGGGCTGTTTTCACTCCTGTATTCAGGTGCAGCCTAGTAGATAGCGCAGGTGGAGATCTTTCCAAATTTGCACTGACAGAACACCAAGAGATGCTGTCGGCTTGGCCCACACTCTCAGGGTGCTCTTCTCTCCGTCAGCATCCTGTACGTTTGTCAAGGAAGCAGGCTACAGTGAGTCCCAAGGGAAACGCTCTGGGCTTCAAGTGCACACCTCACACAGGTCTTACTTGCTGGGAGCTAGCCCACGCAGGTGGAAGTCAGATTCCTTAGAGCACGCTGCCCTCTAATGGGCATCAGGGGAAATTGGAGGAACTTGGCTCCTGGGTCGTGGTACTCCAGGCTTTTTTTTTCTTTTTCTTTTTCACATGGTCACTCCTCCCAGAGAAGGTGCTAGATGGACTTTTTGGTTTTGGTGGTTTGTAAATTCAGCATCATTTGCGCTGTGTTCACAGCATTGCTTCCATATTTACCGTGCAGCGTTTTGACTTTGATCAGCATTTTGTTTTCTAGTCCTAATGTATTCATTTACTGTTTATGGATGAGTTCTGCTATTTTATACTCACACATTCACATTATAAGTAATTATAAAATTTTCAGATTTATTGTCAAAATCGTGCTACTTGTGTACTTGCCTATTCCCATATTGTTATCAAAGAGACAGTTGAGGCAATTGTACAAGGCATATTTCACACACACGAATTTCAGTTTCCCATGATTGGGGGTCTGTTGTGTATGAAATCCTATAGTCCTAACCGTGGGGGTTTATTAGTTAGACCATCCCGTACGTGTGTGATTGAAGTGAACCCCTAAGAAGGTAGATGTCCAACTCATTCTCTCAACAGAAACAGACAAAAACTACGAAAGTCAACAAACTGGAAAAAAAAAACAAACTTATGTATTTCTAAGTTATTAAGGCACAATGTAATGACTGTACTACCTTAATTGTGTATGCTGTTTGGAGTTTCACAAATATTGTCTTGTTTGAAAAGGAGCATCATAAAATAGCAGAGAATGAAACAATAGTGAGTGTCTTTCTCGTTAACAGAAGATATTTATTTACTCCCGACACGAGATGAGAGAAACCCTGTCGTCTATGGCGTCTTTACCACAAGCAGGTACGTTCCGCAGAGGCTGTTAGTCCTGTGGGAGCCAGTGTGCTCGGTGTTTTTGTCCTGTCCATGCAGTGTCCCATGCACTTTCCATTTTGCTTATTTGTTTGTCAGATATCCTTGAGTATTAGCATAATTCAGTGTGTTCTCTTTATGCTGGTACCCAGACAGTGGTTGCCACAATTTGCTAGCCAGTCCTCTGTAGGTGGGCTTGTTGGTTGTGTTCGAATCTTCACTGCTCCACACAGCATTGCAGGGCTTACCCTGTGCGATGCCATTCCGCATGTGAGCCTGCCCAAGGGCTTCAGGAAGTTCACCCGGAGTGTTGGTTATGAAACACCTATGCGGAAGTTTCAAATATTTTTAATTACATTCTTCTCTAGCTGTGACATAAATTCTGAAGATAAAACTGCTAGGTCCAAAAGGCATATGTTGTAATCTACTATTCTGTCTTGCATAATATGCCACCATCTACACGTTATTAAGACAATGATTTTCTTGAAATATGTGTATATGTATATACATACATACACACAATATATCAAGTTTTCCTTTTTATAAAGATGTATTCATTTATTTGAAAGGCAACATTAAGAGCCGGGATGGGGAGAGAGAGAGACTGAGATTGTTGGATCCATCTTCTGTCTGTTGATTTATTTTTCCAGTGGATGCGGTGGCTAGGATGGGATAGGCTGACGCCTGAAACTCCAGCCTGCTACATGACTGACAGACGTTCCAGCACTGAGCTGTATTCTGCCACTTTGCCAGGCTCATTGGCAGGGAGTTATATCAGAAGTGGAACAGCTGGGACACAAACCAGAACCCATGTGGGATGTGTGTGGCAAGCACGCTGTGCCACAGCTATGCCCCAGTGGCCTATATTTAACTGTATTTTCCCCATAGCTCTGCTGTCAGTCTTTATAATGGCTTTGGCATCAGAGGAATTGGAAGTATTGGTACTTGGTTTGAAGAAACAATTTTGCTGCCTGAGTTTGAATTAATTCTGACCTGCTTGGTAGGCAGATTACAGTTTGGTTTCCTTTCTGTGACAGGATCCTTGTTTAGTTCGCAGACCTTTCTGTGTAAATTGGAGTGCAATTTTGGTTTGGAATATACCAGAAAATGAAACATTCTTTTGTTATTTATAAGATCTGGGCTGTGAATAGACAGGAGAGCGAGGAGCTGTCCAAAGCCGCTGGATTGGACACAGTTGGCCCTGGCAACTTGTGTATGAGCTTCAGCAGGTGCAGGAGGAGCAGAGGCCTGCACTTCCTCCCCTGTGTGGAGTGGCTCCAGGATCTTCTCCCCTTTCCATCCACGAGCTGCCTTTGAAGTCCCTCCGTGTTCAGTACACAAGAGACACATCAGAGTTCCTTTCCCAAGCTGTTGCCTACCCAGGCTGTGAAGTTACAAGTCTACTCTTTGTTCTTAGTGCAGGCTATTGTTTTCTGTTTAATGCAGCCCTGAAGTCTGAGGTCACGTTGGAATGCATGCCTTGTCTTTTATCCAATGGGAAGCCATAATGAAGTGCAGTGATGGCGATGTCATTAAGCATCATACATTATTACTTCCAGCTATTGCAGGCAGATTGTGTGCTTTTTATGGGAACGCCGTCTCCCTTCTAGCAGCTAGTTTTTGCCCAGCCATGTCCCCTCCCAGTGTTACCCGTCTATAGCAGGCCAGGGATATTAACCATGGAGTCTGGCGTGCAGGAGAATCCTTAGGTCATTTCTGAAGGTGAGAAGTAGGATGCTTAAATCAGAGAGGGTAATCTTGTGTGAGATCAGGAAGCACTGGGAGTTTTCGACTGTTTATAATTTTTGGAAATAAGAAAAGCATCTTAGAAGTCTTAACAATTCGCTTGCAAAGATTTGTGGAGTTGCTGCAGCTTTAAGCACTTCTTTGATGCTTCGTAATTATTAAGGATCAGATAAGTACAAAGATACATAAAATTAAAGGAACACAGAACTACTTCAGCATCTTAATATTTTCATACAAGTCATTACTTATCATATAAATATTGTTTCTTTTTTTAAAAAAGGCAGAGTTACAGAGAAAGACGTGGGGAGAGAGAGAAAGAAGGAGGCACGCGCACACACACACACACACACACACACACACACACACACACACACACACAGATGAATGCTCTATCCACAGATCCTGTCCCCAAAAGACCACCTTAAACAGAGTTGGGCCAGTCCAAATCCAGGAGGCTGGAACTCCCATGTGGGCGCAGGTTCCCAAGCGCTTGAGCTGTCTTTTGGAACTTCCCCAGGCAGTTTAGTAGAAAGCAGGATCAAAAGTGGAGCAGCTGGGGCTGGGACCGGTGCTGGTATGGGATGCAATCACACATGTGGTGGCTTAATGTCCAATGCCACGATGCTGGCCCTGGGAATTAATGTTTTCTTAAACAATTGGTGCTTATATCATTTATCACTGTAAGAATACATGTCAACTAGATGTTTATTTACCTGATTCCTCTTTAAGAGTGGGTAATTTGTTTTGAAAGTTCTTTACACAGCATTTTGCTATAATATCTTCAAATATAATTGAAAAACATACGCGGGCAGATGACTTTCTTCCTGCAGAGTTTCTGTTTACCAAGCCGGTGTCGGGTGAGATCTGACCTCTCCTAGGGCTTCCAGGAAGCACGGTGCTGGATGCCCTTCTGTGTGCTTGCCGAAGTGGCTGAAATGACCATGAGGACTGCACTCACTCAGCCTTCTGGGGCTTGGCTGTGGTCTCTCTGAGGACACAGGCACGTCCTGTCCGCTCTACCTGGCAGTTAGAGTGGGTTGGGTTGTTTTCAGAGCTCCTGGTGACCGAGTGACGGAGCCACGTTGCTTTCTTTCAGTTCCATCTTCAAAGGCTCTGCTGTGTGTGTGTACAGCATGGCTGACATCAGGGCAGTGTTCAACGGCCCCTATGCTCACAAGGAGAGTGCAGACCACCGCTGGGTGCAGTACGATGGAAGGATTCCTTATCCCCGACCGGGCACAGTAAGTCTCTAAGACCATGCTTGATTGATAATTATTGTAATATTCTATTCAGTTCCCTACAACAACTGTTATTCATTTGTAGGGATTTTTTTTTCATTTGAAACTATCATTTTTATTCTCTGTAAGAATTTTAAGTACCACGGTGTAAGGTGTAGACCCTGCTGCCGCTGTGGAGCTTCCCACGGGTGGCTCTGCAGAGAGTCGTCCCTTCTGCCTTCGCTTTGAATGGAACTGCAGGGGTTAACAAAGGTTTGTCTCAGTTGTTTGTTTCTTGTTAGGCCGTACCTCGACTTCCTTGCTGCCAGAATAATGTGCATTTCTCAGATGTGGAGGTATTTTAGAGAACCCTGAATCACATTTCAAATGATGTAAGTCTCATTTAACACACACTTGCAACGAGTGATACACGCGTTGTAGACCCGTTCATTGATTTGCCCAGGAGAGCAACTAAGTTTTCTTCTGCTACATATGCATTTTAAATAGCAGTCTTTTTCATTTTGTTTGCTATCATTAAAACTACGTAAATTATTTACATTATTTGAGATTGGTTAGTTGACTTATTATTGAGAAAATGTTGACTTAACTCCTCTTGGTTTTGGCAGAATGCTGACCTTCCTTTAAACAATCAGACCTAAATCCCTAGCTTAGCTTGATGTCACTACTCTGCAGTGTCCATGAGCCTGGGCGTGAGGATGCCCAAGGACGCATATAAACACTTCCGTTTCCTCCAAGTGATTCTTTTGCCCTCTGGTGTCCGCATAGTCGGTCTAAATAAAGCATGTTTTGTGCAGGCCGCTTATCACCAGCCTGGTCTTGGTGACAGGAAGTCCCAAGTGTAAAGAAGTACATAGGAATCCATGGTAATGACAGGTGCAAGTAGGAGGCAGCACAGAAAACCGAACGGGTCTGAAAGGACCAGGCCACCGGGAAGCTCAGAAGCCTAGGGAGACTTACCAAGGCGGAAAGTCCTTAGTAACGTTGATGCTGGATTTATTGGCTCCCTGATGTCTTTAATAAAATTGTAGCATGCTGTTTCATTCGATGTTACATAGAACTTTTTTAAGGTTTATACATAAATGTGGACTATTAGTGTTTACTCAAAAGTGACTTCCAGTTTTTAAACCATCCCCTTATCAAAATGATCAGATGGAAGTATTTATTTTTGAAGTGTGGGCATTTATGAAAGATATTTACTACAATTAAATGATTTCACTGTAGATTTTGACAATTTCTAGTTGTACAATTTGTATTCATTTTAATATTCCATTTCTCCCAAATGATGGTTGTGCCGACTATTGGATATTTTAGCCTTTTTTTTTTTAAAGTATTTGACAAGTGGGGAGAGAGACAGAGACTCCCGTCCCTGCTGGGGTTCAAAGTCGGGTCAGGGCAGAGTCAGATATTGAAGCTGGGCACGCTGCGGTGGGACTGGGCGTCTTGGCTGGTGCCTTCACAGCTACAACAACGGAGCTTTATGAAACCAAAAATATTTTTCTGAAGATCAGAATCATCTATTAACCAATTAGCTACTTGTTAGCCTACTGCAAAAAGTAGTAGGTAGTGCTTCAGCCACTGATGAATGTGGGCTGTGACACAGTCCCTGTCTGTAGCATTTCAAATCTCTGAACGAGAAACCTATCGTGTGTCATTCCTCATGCAGGTTTTTCCTCCGGAGAAAAATCAAGGATAAAGACCAAACCATTTACTGCAGTGCAGTACCTGTTGTCCAGCTTTTCTGCTCTGAGATAAAACATTTCAGACCTGGAGTGTGGTCCCCGAGAAACCCAATGGGCCTTGTTTCTTTCCCACCAAATTATTAAACTTTTTAATGCCAAACACGACATTGAGAAATCACAAAGGCCCTGTCCCACATCCACAGGAAAGCTCATCTCAACTGTTATTCTCCTGCGGGCTAGCTCTGGATCTGGGCATACTCACTTGTTCTAGAAAGATCTTTTTCACTTTACCGTAGGAGAACATCACTGAGCCTGAGTCTTTGTGATTTTGAAGAGCAAAAGCAACTCAGGCAGGGACTTGGTCATAGCGTAGTGATACACAGTGATAAACTGTTTGCATAGCCGGCTCGATTAGAGGCCTGCTGACACTCCAGCCTCCTCTTGGCTTCGGCTCCCAACAGCAGGCATTGGAGGTACACATGGAACCCCCGAGTCAAAGCTGTCTGGGACCTGTTTCAGCTTCCTGTTGTCCTGAAGCCGCCTGGCTGATGCATTGGCGTAGTCCTGCAGCATGGCTCTCCGTAGCGAGCTCGTGGGCTCCGAGTGTTAGATCTTTGTGAAGGTCAAGATCTGGAGTTGTCAGGATGGGATGGTGAACCAGGCCCTTCCCAGGAAGGGTGATAGAAAAAAAGAAGTTTTAAGGCTCTCTTTTATATGTAGATTTCAACAAATTCAAGAACAATATGTATTTCCTGCTAAGTCTTCACACCCTCTTCTTGAAATGAAATCTCCACAGTACAAGACTAAGACAGTCTCGCCTCCCGAAGGATGATTTGGAAGTGGATGGAACACGTAGTCCTGGTGGCATCTCCTGCCGCCCTCACCTGTGAGCCTGAGAGCATGGTCGATGCCAGGCTGTCATTGTTGGGATCTGTCCCGTCTTTCCAAGTGACGCTAAAGGCACAGGAGACTTTGGAGGGACCCGGTCATGTCTCTCGCTCCTTCCCTCCCACCCTTGTGTCTCTGATGAAGAATTTCGGCTTCATTTTTCTTCCTAATATGTATTCACTGCGTGTCCTTCCACTTAGTGGATAGCAAACAATTGCTCAGTTACCACTTCTCGAAATGGCTGAGTGTCTAGGCTAGTTCTCCTTCTCAGAGCTTTGGTTTCTAGAAGGAAGTGCAAGCACACAGAGTTCCAAACTCTGAGGACAAGGGGCAGGGGGTTGGCTGGAGGGGGAGTCGGTGGAGTCATGGACTGTCCCCCTCAACACGCACGCGTGCTGTTTCTTGGACACCAACCCACGTCTCCTTTTCAGTGGGTCTGTGGCTTTCCTCCCAGAGAGCATGCAAACTCTAGCCTGCATGGTGTGCTTAGGGCTTGTTCTGCCTTTCTCATAGGACATCCCCCCTGGGAAGCAGGGTCTCTGAGAAGAAGAGGGAGAGGAGGATGACTCAGCCTCTTCATTGTACTCCTGGTCTTTCTGCCTTTGCTGTAGAACCCAGGGTGCTTCCTGGCTCCTGTCTGCTATAGACTGCCTAAGCAGTGGGATCAGATGGTACCTATTAAAACTGCATTTTTTTTTTTACATTATAAAGCGAAATCAGACTTCCTTTACATATTTCATTTATTTTTCCCGGTTTGCAAAAATGAAAGCCTTTTTCAGCCTCTCCCCGTGCCCTGCCTCCCCTCGCATTAGTCATTGCTCTGGTTTGTTTAAAAAGAAACCCCAGCCCGTAGCAGCAGCGAGAAAACTTTAACAGCTGTCTGGTGCCTTGCCAGGGGGCAAAGCTCTCTCGCTGGATAAAAACCATTTTTCTCTTCTTATCCATTGCTTCCACTCTGCTCCTAAAGGCCCTATGCAAACACGCAGGCCTGCCAAGCACAACACGGAGCCTTGCTCGCCCGCCGCCGCGCAGGCGCGAGCTGGGCGCTGCCGGGCTGCCCTGGCCTCTGCCCTTCACTCCAGGGTCCATGCCTGGCTCCCTGACTCCTGCCTGCTCTCAGTTTAAACCCAGGTTTTATTGCAGCAGCAAATGGAGACTTGGGATTGCTTCCAACTTATATCCTATGCTCGCAGGAGCTAAGGTGGTCGAAAGTAGGCGGCTTAGAAAACTGAGGACAGGAACCAGCGAACTCTGCAGTACGGTGTAGACTGTACCGTAGCTGGAAATCCAGCGCACGGCCATCCCGGAAAATCTGAGCGGAGTTTTGACCCGTTGGAGTACAGCTGTACTGATAAAGTTTTCTAGGGATTTTTTGGGGGGAGAAAATCAAGAATGAAATAAGAACATTCGCTGTAGGTGTAGCTTCTCCCCTAACCCCCTATTTTGCCCATACGTGCTTTTGGTGCCTGGCATCGCCAGGAATTTTTAGCTCCGTGTGCTGTGTAGATACATGATACCAAAGTCTAAATTCCGCTGGATCGGATGTGCTGAAAGATCAAGACCAGGCTCCTACTGTCCTGTCTCAAACTTCAGGGAGTCGCTCTCTCAAATCACGTTCATTTGTGCAAGCAGAGCGGAGACGGGACCTGAGACGCTGGGCATGGCAAAGCGGATCAAGATCTCGTGCAAACACCGGCGGCACGCGGTTCCCAGGAGTCAATAGAAACCAGGGTCTGCGTCCTTCTTCTGAGATTTTATTACCTTTAAATGGCTTCGTGCAGACCAGCACAGAGGAAGCTGCCGCATCTGCTCTTCCTAAATGCTCGTGTCTCGGCAAAATCCAAAAGATGCTTTTCCCTCTTCTGTTAGAGGACTTTCAAAAACCCAATGTGGAGAAGACCTTACTTCTGCTTTGATTTCATGCTAGGCCAACCAACTGAGCCATAAGCTGCAAGCCTGCTCCCTGGCCTGCGGCAGCGCCTCGGCCGGCGGCCCTCACCAGACAGAAGCCGCCTCTCCTTTGCGCTCCATACCCGGTTGGTGTCTGTGCTTCATCCGGTTCACGGAGGGCTCCTCCCACCATCAGGTTGACGGATCCCACTTGTCTGAGGGCTTAGCGTCAGGAACAGTGATGGAGCACGCACGCTTTGCTCTTTGGACCCGTTTCCTGCTAAGAATGTGCTGAGTGGATAATAGTTAAGAACAAGTCTCTTTCATGCAGACCTGATACAAACATAACAGATTTTTTAAAAAGGAAGTGTATTTCCTGATATTAGATATGCCAACTTTTTGTCAAAGCCTGAGCTTGTTCTGGTTGTGTGTGTGGTACGTGCCTGCCCGCTGCACCCTCCGGTTTGTCCCGTGTCACAGTGACCCCGGTGCAGCAGCTGGGGTCGCACGCCTGCCACCTCCCGGGTGCTCAGCCCCTCCGCCATGAGTCTGTGGATTGTTGGGGCTGAGAACTGCTCTGCTCTGGGAAGCCTGACGGGATTTTAATTAGCGCCTTGTACACATGGCTCAGTTCAATGGAGACTGTTTCCAACTTGTTGGAAAAGACGAAAATAGCAGAAAGGCAGCATACTCACCAAGTTTCCCTCCTGTATCCATTTTCTCCGCTGCTCTTTAACTTTTTAAAAACCCTTTGATATCAAGATAATGTGTTTTCCACAGTTCATGGATACAGTTCAAAGAAGAAAACCCTGCTTCTCTCCCTCCCCTTCTCCTCTGCCAGCCTCCCTCCTTCCTTTGCAAAGCGGTAGCATCATACTGCTCTGTCATCACAGGCTTCATTTACCACTAATCACAGTCTTCAACAAGAAAAGTGCGAGAGGGTTACGGACCCGCGGCCAGCAAGTCACAGAAGATCTGCCTCATGCCTGTGCATTTTCATTCTATATTAACTGTCATGTCAACATATGATATTTTTCTTTCTGGGATTTCCTGAAAATATGGTATGCTTCATGAATTTCCCCGGGAGCCTGTTAAAGATTTGAGCTGGGCAGAAATGTCACAACTGGGATAACTTCCTAAATGACAATAGATCGAATCCATTGCATTCAGGACATAGGAGAGGAGCTGTTTCCTGAAGAAAGTTGAAAAGTGATTCTTTTATTTTTGGATGAGAACACATCTTGGCATTTAATGGTAGTTTGAACTTCTAATGTTGGCCACAAGGGGGCAGGGTATGCCAACTATTGGCGTAAGGCCCCTGTCACAAGGGAAGGGTGTGGAAAACGCCCCAGGCCTTCTTCACACACCCTTTGGGGGAAGTGCTGTTGGATTATTCAGAGTAATCTTCAGGCTAGTTGTAAAAACTCTTGATAATTTCCGCTACAGAGTTATTGAGCTTCTTTTGAAAGTGATTTTTTTGTGACCTGTTGATTGCTTCCTTTTGATTTTTAATAAACATAGTTTAAGTTGAAATTTTTATACTCAAAGGAAATAAAGAAAAAAGAACCCACTGGTTTCCCATATGTTCTCATATTTATACATCAAGTTTTTTTCTTTAACTAGCTGCAGAAATCACATTTTATTTATCAGAAATTTCAACTTTTCTTCCCTAGCAATGTTAATGAGAAGTGTTTAAAAAGGATTTGTTGTGTAAACTTCACAGGAAAAAAGGCTTAAGAGGTAATTCAGAATATTTGATGCGGTGCAGGAGTTTATCCGTACGTGCTCACTGTTCCCTGTGGCCTGTCCTGTCACCGTCCTCAGCGGCGACCCCTCCCTCCTGGAGCTGACTGTACGGTCCTCAGGTGGATGTGTGGCGTCTTTATTCGCTCCACTTTGCTTTGCAGTGTCCGAGCAAAACCTACGACCCGCTGATTAAGTCCACTCGGGACTTCCCGGATGATGTCATCAGCTTCATCAAGCGGCATCCTGTGATGTATAAGTCGGTGCACCCCATGGCAGGTGCACCGACCTTCACGCGGATCAACGTGGATTACAGGCTGACACAAGTGGTGGTGGACCACGTGGTCGCAGAAGACGGCCAGTACGATGTCATGTTCCTCGGGACAGGTGAGCTCCAGCCGGGCTGGGCGTGCTCTCCCGGTGGAATTTCCTTGTGAAAAAACATGGAAACATCCAACTTGCACATTGTCAATGTCAAGATGAGTAATTGGTAGCCAGTGCCCTACTAGTCCCTCCAAGCCGTGCGGCACACGCTTACAGGATAACCCCAAGTGTCTGTGGGTGTGTGCGCCCGGGCATGTGGAAGTTGCAGTGTACCTGCGTGCAGAGTCAGTACTCAGTACGTGTTTGGTCACTGACGGGAGCAAGGTGGACGATGTCCTCATTGTCGCATCGCCATGTGTCTGCTACCAAGAGTCTCTTCACCGATTTGCAGAACCGCTGGCGTGTGGGTGAAGCTAATCTCAGAATCATGAGGCAATGAATGCAACATGGAGACACATTTCCCTGTTATTGTACCCTGCAGATTCTCAGTGGAGGCCATCTGATTTATTTACTTGTCTGTTATCTCAATGCTTAGAAATATTTATTTTTGCAGAAAGAGAAATATCAATTATTTGAGGAGTCTCAAAAACAATAGATGATAGGGCCTGGCGCTGTGGCCTAGTGGCTAAAATCCTAGCCCTAGAACACCCGGGATCCCAAATGGGCACCGGTTCTAATCCAGGCAGCTCCACTTCCCATCCAGCTCCCTGCTTGTGGCCTGGGAAAGCAGTCGAGGACGGCCCAAAGCCTTGGGACCCTGCGCCCGTGTGGGAGACCTGGAGGAAGTCCCTGGCTCCCGGCTTCAGATCGGCGCAGCACTGGCCGTTGCAGTCACTTGGGGAGTGGATCGTCAGACGGAAGATCTTCCTTTCTGTCTCTCCTTTATTTATATCTGACTTTCTAATAAAAATAGATAAATCTTTAAAAAAATAATAGATGATAGAGACATTATCTATCAATTCCATCAGAATTCTGGTGGCTGAGAGGAGAACATGGGTCATTACCCCAAGCCCAGCGTCCTGGGTCACGTTTTGGGTTTATAGGTGACACGTTTCATGAAGAAATAGACACAAATGGAGTTTTAGGAAATGGATGTTCTTATTGGAATAGATATTAGTAGGAGAGAATAGTTTTGGAACAGTTGGATTGGTAGAAACGCATTGCTCTCTGCATGTTCGGTGTCTGGGCAGTGTGTGTTTGAGGGCAGAGGCACTTGGAGCATGAGTCAGACCTGAGCCTGCTGCACGTGGTGATGCTGTGACACAAAGAATGCTGAGCCAGGTCTCGGGACGGGCACTGCAGGCCTCGGGGTGGGCACTGCAGGCCTCGGGGCGGGCACTGCAGGCCTCGGGGCAGGCACTGCAGGCCTCGGGACGGGCACTGCAGGTCTCGGGGCGGGCACTCTTGGGGCGGGCACTGCAGGTCTCGGGGCGGGCACTGCAGGCCTCGGGACGGGCACTGCAGGTCTCGGGGTGGGCACTCTCTGGGCAGGCACTGCAGGCCTCGGGACGGGCACTGTAGGTCTCGGGGTGGGCACTGCAAGCCTCGGGGCGGGCACTCTCTGGGCGGGCACTGCAGGCCTCGGGGCGGGCACTGTAGGTCTCGGGACGGGCACTGCAGGCCTCGGGACGGGCACTGCAGGCCTCGGGGCGGGCACTGCAGGCCTCGGGGCGGGCACTGCAGGTCTCGGGGCGGGCACTGAGGGTCTCGGGGCGGGCACTGCAGGTCTCGGGGCGGGCACTCTCGGGGCGGGCACTCTCGGGGCGGGCACTGCAGGTCTCGGGGCGGGCACTGCAGGTCTCGGGACGGGCACTGCAGGTCTCGGGGCGGGCACTCTCGGGGCGGGCACTCTCGGGGAGGGCACTGCAGGTCTCGGGGCGGGCACTGCAGGCCTCCGGTGGGCACCTCTCCTTCCCCTGGGTTTGAGCCCGATGCTGCATCGTTGGTCCCGAGTCTCGCTGCTGGAAGCATTAGGCTGCCACTAGGTGGCACTGCCTAGCTGTCCCGCGGATTTCCAGTGCTGCTCAAGTGTGGCTTTCTATCTTGGCATTTGGAGATGTCCACCTAGTGTTTTTGAAAGATTTCAGAATCCTTGAAAAAAAAAACAATTGAATAATCCTGACACGTTCATGCAAACAAGATCATTATTATTATTATTATTATTAACTCCATTATTCAGAAGTTTAGGACATCTGCTTTGTTTGATTTAATTTCATTTTCCCCTCTTTCCCAAAGTGTTCTTTTGATTGCATGACTTCAGTATCAGATGAAATATGATACCTTTCCTCAAATGTTAATTTTTGCTTGCATCATCAAATGCAAATATAGTTTTAAGTTGAGCTAAAAGGGTTTGAGACAAACTTCCCTCCCCCCTTAGCCCTTTGATAGTGATTCTGAAGGAGGAAGAGATTTCAATTTGAGTCCTGGTTTCTCTCACATAGTCAGTTTCAGTGATTTTTGGCCACGTGTAAATGTTGTTAAAATTATATATTTAATATATATAATATATATACATTATGATGACACGGATTTAAGTATTGAGTAAATATAGATTGTATTAAGACAAAGACACAAAGAGGGATTCCTTTAATGTATTTTAACCTTTTCATTTAGGTTAAAAAACCTGTTCCCCTTCTGTTATGTTAGCCAGTATTTAAATTGGGCAAATAGATTCCTCGTGCGGAGGGTATACTCCGAATATGTGTTATTTAACATTCCTTTACCAGCGTGCCTTCTGCTGGGTGGGAGCTGTTTCTGAACGGTGTCATCCCGTTCGCTGAGCTTCCCTCCCACCTGTCTTATTTCACCTGACTCTTCCTGTCGCGACAACCAGCCTTGGCAAAGGGCCTGGGGAGTGTGCGTGCGCTCGGTGCAGCTGGGAAGGGCAGGGTCATGGGCTGTGTCTCGTTTCAGACATTGGGACTGTCCTCAAGGTCGTCAGCATTTCCAAGGAGAAGTGGAACATGGAGGAGGTGGTGCTGGAGGAGCTGCAGGTGTTCAAGGTGAGCAGGCCCAGCTCTGGGAGCGTGGTGAGCACAGGTCACCCTCCGGCCCACACACAAGCTTCATGCAAACGGGGGATTCTGGACATCAGCTCTTTAGTTTTTCTTTCCCCTAAGCATTGGAGAAAGTTGTAGAAGCAGCTAAGAGCTGGCCTCGCCTGCAGCCCTTGACTGCGCTGAGCTCAGAGCCTGGGGTATCACCTCTTACGAACACATTCTCTAAGCGTAGTCGGACAGACTGCCAGTCAGTGCAGGCCTGAGCTTTCTTTCACTATGCAGATGCTTCTTCACTTGATACATGCTGCCTTTCAGTGGCTTCCTGATTGAATTTGAGGAAACAGGATGTATCAATCTTGTGTTCCTGCATTTCTGAAAGGATTTTTAAAAAAAGTGTGCTTGATTTGAAGTTTCCTTGAATGCTAGATTGTTGTTGCCCATCAGAGATGGTAGAAGCCTCATTCTTCAGCTTTAGAATACATTTGAACTTTAATACTAAGGTTTTTCGGTGTGTGTGCATCCAACAAAATTTAATTGGACACTGTTTCCTGAAAAGCAATAAAGCATTTTTTAGGCACACTTTTAAAAAAGGCTATGTTTTGTTGATATAGCTTCTTAGCACAGACTGCTTCCATGTTGACACCACTGCCTTGAAGGAGAACAGAGTCCTCCAATGTGAGAAGCTCAAGGTGCTGAACGCCCTGGTCCCACAGGGCCCTTTACTGTGTGTCTCCCATTGCCAGGTCCCGGGTGGTCCCTAAGGGCAAAGCCAGTGTCCGCTGCAGGTCTGCAGGGGTTCTCACACTGGCACGGCAGAACCAGCCTTTTCCTGCAGCTGTTAAACTTCATCCGAGAACAGTGGTTTGAATTTCACATTAAATGGAAGCCTGAGGTCTCGAAATGGAGATTAAACAAAAGTTCTGTTTCGTTCTTTAGTTTTGTTTTCTTTGCCTTTCTATTTTTCAACAGCTCTATACCTATATAATTGCTGTAAAATATGTATATTTACTTCCTGAAGTGTGACATGTTTTGCCATATGGATGTTTTTTTTTAATTCATAATTTTACTAAATTATTGGATGGAACTTTATCACATAATTTTTTGGGGGGTAGAGGCATTGAGCCTAGTAGGGAAAAGGTCCTAATCCATATGAAAGTGTCCAGGGTCAGGTCCAGGCTCCAGGTTGCTGCAGCCCTGGGAGGCAGTGACACCGGCTTGAGGAGCTGGAGCCTTCTGTCTGGTTGACCATCGTGCAGTTCCTGCCTAGCCCAGCCGTTGCAGCCTTGAAGAGTAAACTAGCAGATGGGAGCTCTCTTTGTTTCTGTCTCTCTTTCCCTGTCAAATAAACAAGACATTTGAAATTTGTTTCATTCATACGTTTTGTCTACATCTTTGAAACTCGCTACTGTACGTATTAAGAGGTGGATGAAATTTTTAAATACTCCCCGTCCTTTTTAGTTTGAGATCTTTTGTGTTCATCCGTCTCAGTTTTCTCTGGCGTGTCCAGAGTCTTTTGTGAATAGCGCTGGTCCTTGTTGATGTCATGGGATGTTATGCACGGAGAGCCTGCAGTGTTCCACAAAGGATGTGCTCTTCCGCAGGATTGCTCACTGTGTAACTTCTCAGAAGGCTGCTACTTGAGCAAGTTTCTGAGCCACTTGTCTAAGTAAGAGCAGAAGGAGGTAATAAATAATTACGTAGATGTTCTTGTCAACACTGGTTTGAATTATGTGGAAGCAGTTAAGATAAGAAGACTTACAAGTCGGAGATAACTTTGGGGAACTGGGAACCCTTTTCAGTGCAGTGTTTCCTTACACCATAGGTAGGTTTTCTTTAAGAAGATATACTTCAAAGGAACTATTTTTATCATCGCTATTAGGGAATAAACATTATGCATTTGGAAGAAAATAGAAACAAGACTCTTTTCTCCCCATAGTAGAGCTTGCATGTTGACTGCAGTAAACTTTGATGTGAGAGAAGGTGACACATGGCTACTGTCAGTGTCTAAGTGCTGGTCTTCACTCACGTTTACCTTCTGTTTCCAGCACCCGTCGGCCATCTTGAGCATGGAGCTGTCTCTCAAACAGGTACTTTTAACTTTCTGTCTGAAAAATAACCGCAATAGCAACAAACTGCTTCAACTAATAACAATTAATTTAAAAGGTCTGTTGAATTGTAAGATAAGTTGTAAATAATGCAAAAGCAGATAATTTATTTTTCTTATAATAAATGAGAGATCATGATGTCAGTCTTATCTAGGTTTCATTAATTAGTCAATATGCCCTTTCCTTTCTTTAAATTTCAAAATTGAGCTCCTTGTTTTTTTTTTTTTAATTTTTTCTGGTTCGGGAAGATGATGCCTTCAAAACTCCATGATAGTTATGTAGAATATTAACCCCAACCTTCGATTCTTTTTAATATTTCATTTTACTTACTTAAAATACAGAGCTACAGAAAGAAAAGGAGGTGGGAGAGAGAGAGCAAGAGAGATGAGAGAGAGAAATCTTCCATCTGTATCTGTTGGGTCACTGACTAAATGCCCACAAATGCCAGGCTTGAGCCTGCAGCAAGGAGTCAAGCTTCTCTGGCTCCCCCTCGTGCAGGTGGGCACTCAAGCACTTGGGCTGTTGTCTGCTGTTTGTCCAGGTGCATTAGTCAAAAGCTAGATTAGAACGGGAACAGTTGGGACTGGAACCGGAACCTGTGTGGGATGCTGATGTTGAAGTTAGTAGTCTTATCGACTACCTACAACAACAGCCCAAAGGGTCTAACTAGGTATCAGGAACTAGAATATGGATTTTGGTGAGCCATAGCCCAGCAATCATCCTTCAGCAATATCCATTCAGTAACTAACTCTTTTAATCGGTTTCTTGAAGGGTAAAGTTAGAAAAGCAATGCCCACTCCTAAGCCTGCTGTAAGCTTGGGTAGAGTGCTGCATGCAAAGATCTAAGCAGATAGATACATTATCAGCAGGTTGAAACGGAGGATCATGTGCCCAGTGGCAGGAGAGAACAGTGACTTGACTGCTCAGAGTGAGAGAGAGAGAGAGTGAGAGAGAGAGTGAGAGAGAGAGCCTGGCCCGCTGTGTGCTGTGTGCCTAAGAGGGAGGGAGGCCGGGATTGCATCTGCAGAAGTAATGCCAGAACCAGAATGCGTATGTCCTGCTGTGTCCCCTTGAGAAGTCTGACAAGTTAATGCAAGGACAGTCGAAACCACTAAAGAGTTCAAACACAGTGGTGTCGTGGTAAGAGTTTTTCTTCAGAAAGATCAGTTGGCTGTGTGGGTGGCAGCGTGGAAGATGGATAGGGTCTTGGGGTTGGGGTTGGGGCTGCTGAGAAGCCAGGCTGAAGTCAGCGGAAACAGTTAGGACACTTAGAAGTAATCCAGGAAAGAGATGATAAGGGGCAAATCAAAGGCAGTGGCCTTGCTGAGGGAGGGGAGGAAGCGGATTAGCAAATTCTGTGTGGGGCAGCTGAGGGCAAGGCGAGAAGACTGGGAAACATGGAGCAGATTTCTCACTGGAGGAGTCGGAGTCTGATGGGGCAGGCAGAGGTTAAGAGGATCCGTGGGTTCTTGCTTTCCCAAGGTGCCTCTGAATCTTTGAGCAACATAAGGTAGAAAGGAGGGGAATCCAACATTTAATTCAAGAAAGAAACCACAAAGAAGACACACTGCGGAACCAGAAGGGGAGGAACAAGAGAAAGTGAAGCTCCAGAGAAAGTGTCTTTATGCAGAATTTAAATCAAACACATTCTAAGTAGAACCCATTGTACTTCACAACCGGTGGGTCTCATCTTACAGTTGAAGTAGGTAACAGAGGTGTTAGACAGACTCATGTATGCTGAAAAAACGTGTGGAGTGTTTTCAAAAATTTCATGGAAATTCCTATCATAAAGGGATTCGCAGGGTTCCAAAAATTCACTCAGATTGATTGTAGATTCATTGCAGGCAATGCCATTGCTTGTACAGCTGCACCCTCCCTGCCCTCCACCACGGGCACACACATGGCAGGCAGTACAGAATGCAGTTTTGTCTGCTGGATTTTTCAGAACCCTTCAGCTTTTTCCTTGGGATCTTCCATTCCTCGGAACTGCTCCATGCTTTCCAGGTGGAATCTCCCTTGGAAGCAGGATTCTTCCAGGGATTGGTGCTTCATTCGCAGATAAAACTGCTAACTGGAAGCCGAAGAGTTTTTTCCAGTTTGTTGCGGCCCTGTCACATAAGGTGCCGAGGAAGGCCATCCATTTTGCTATAGCATCTGCATATGATACAATCTACCAAGTACATTTTCTGTGCCATGGAGTCAGAATTTGGCATCTGAATTCCTCAGTCTAGTAGCTGGTCCTTGACTTTAAATTACTGCCATGCTTGCACTAGCTTTATAGAATTCTGTCTGTTTCAATATTTCTCAGCTCACACCAGCATTCTAGGGATCGGAGAGGTTGTTCGTCCTTGTGTTGCACAAGAGCTGAGCGTGACCGGGTCCTGAGATTAGCTGTTGTGTGGAATTTAAGAAAGGGAACTTCTTCACGGCGGCCTGAGTGATGTTTCTAATCCGTTGGCTTTGCTTGGTTTGCAGCAACAGTTGTACATTGGTTCCCGGGAAGGCTTTGTGCAGCTCTCCCTGCACAGGTGCGGCACCTACGGAAAAGCTTGTGCAGACTGCTGTCTGGCCAGAGACCCCTACTGTGCCTGGGATGGAAGTGCGTGCTCGCGGTATGCGCCCACCTCAAAGAGGTAACATCTCCCCTCGGAGCCGCTTCGTGCCGCTTATGAGAAACGGCATTGTCGTCCAAGTTTTGTTTTATTGCAACCATTATTTCTAGGATAATGTAAAGACATTATTTATTGTTGAAGGCCTATTTTTGTCTCCATGTAAAATATCAGCAACTTGTAGGTGTTATTAAAACATGTTTCGTTTTCTTAAACACAACTGCCTGGAAACATGTTAGTCTTGCTTGACCCTCATACACGTTTTTCCACTTGAATTTTCACCAATTTGTCAAATTCTATATTTTAGAGAACACACATCAAATATGTTGCAAATATTGCCCAAAATTAGGAGATATTTCAAATTCCGTGAAATTTATGAATGAAGTGTCAGGCGGGTAAATGTGACTTAGAAGTTCAAGGTAAACATCGCCGACATTTTTTTTTTCCTTTTTGCCCGAGAGCAGACTCATCAGTATGGGTCTTGTGGGAGTGCTTTTTAAGAAGCTAAAAAACAAGAGTGCTCAGGGTTAACAAACCTTCAGTTTGATGCATTAACCCCATTGCTGAGGAAGCCAAGGTTAAGAAATCATTCTTGCCCTTAGGTACCTTCGTCCATCATAATCTTTTCTTATGTTTCCCCAAACCGTTGTCTCTGATGTTACAGATGTGTCGTGTCCCTTGCCTGCACGACATCTGTGTGAGCTGAAAGATGCGCGTAATGAGGAAATCTCTTGCATGGTGCTGATCCAGTCAGTGTTGCTTTAAGGATATGCTAGATGTTGAACAAAGTTAATTACTACTTTTGCGATTCCTGAAGTGGCATCAAAATGTAGACAAAGCCAATGAAAATATAATGAAAGAATTTACAACGTGCTTAGCTTTGATGCATCAAATTTTGTTCTTTTTTTCCCTATAGAAATGATTTTAAGAAAAATGTGTGACATTTTATGAAATCTTAGTATTAATTTTTAATTACTACTACTACCATTACCAGAAAAGGCGATATAAATTGTGCGCTGGCAGGTATAGGCAACTCCACTGTCACTTCAAATGTGTCCTTCTGTGAAAGCCTTTCCAAATATCCCTGGGAAATGGAATTATAAGATAAGTTTATTTTGCTGCAGAAATTCCAAAAAAAAAATGCTTTGCTTTTGTATAATATGCATCTTCCTGAATAGTCTTCATTATTCCAGATTCTGTTTGTCATGTAACCAAATCCTTGTGGCAACCTTTACCTGGTAAGCTGAGTTGTTAGATTAGATGCACTTTCTCCTAAGGACTCAGCTACAGTTCTTCCAACAGTACTTTCCCAACTGATGGAAAAGTACGATTAGTTCTCCCCGTTTTTGATGTACAAACAATCTGGACTATAGTTTTCTTCAACCAATCCTATGAATTTCCCAAATAAGAGAAAAGAATAGTAATTAGCTAAGGTTTAGGCCAGTTTGTAGCTAAAACAAGATTTTTCCTGTTAGGATTCAAGTGCAACCAGCGTTTAGCAGTAGATTCATTGATATTTTGAACTGCATTGAAATCAAGCAATGAGGCAAGCATACATCTGTATTTAACTGGTGTAAGATGACACTGTTCCACATTCTGATAATCATACTGGAAATTCTGATGAGTTTAATCCCCTCTCCCTAGGCGAGCTAGACGCCAAGACGTAAAGTATGGAGACCCCATCGCCCAGTGTTGGGATATAGAAGGTAGTAAGTATAGACTTAACACGCTTTTTCTTGCATTAAAAATGTTTAGCCTGCTCTGTATGTGTCTTTATTATGTGAGTGAAAACATCTATTAAATAGGGAGATTTCCTTTTTGTGAGGCACGTGCTCTGGGCAGGCAATGGGAAACGCTATAAATCAACATGCCGTCGGCCTGCCTAAGTGAAGAATCCTTCGTTATACTGTGAGTTGTTTCATATGTCTTTTAAAATTCCTATACCATGGCTTTTGTTTCTTTTTTACTGCCTTATCCATCCTTGTAAAGTTTAAAAACTGCAAGTAGAGATAAAATAGAATATAGCCAAAAACATTTGGACGTTTAGAGTAAACTCAAAGAGACCTCCCAGAAAATTCTGATAAACGTGTTGGTACTTATTAGACACAAGTTTTAGGTGGCCTCTACTTCATGTTCACTTATTAATTTATGTATTCCTTCTATCAGTAAATATTTAGTAAGTTATTTCCTTGTGCATACATACAATTATCCTGGGTAAGTCACGAGACAGAGAGGCCCTGTGGGAGAGCTGATGGCTGTTTGGGGAGAGGTGAGAGGGCCCAGTTAGCGATGGCGGGGGTTAGCAGAAAGAGAGCTCGGAGGAGGCTGTATTTAAAAAAGGAATAGTGCAGAATAAGCAGGAGAGGGGGACAGTGTGAGGAACAGGGAGAGAGTTGGCAGGGCCACCATTGAGCCTCAGTTTCCATTCTGAGGCTCTGTCCTCAGCACACAGCACACACCAACACACCCCACAGGGTCACGAAGCTAGAAAGTCCTGCTCTGTGTCACCCGGTAGTGACTGCCGTGCCAGTGATGAAGATAACCTGCATTTCCTGGTGGTCTCACAGTGCTTCCTTGATCTAGAAGTAGAAAAAATATTTTAAACTTAATGTTCTTTTGAAGAATAATCGCTGGCCCATCCCATTCCAACATGTGGTTAGCACTGTGGGGTCCCGTTTCTACTGTAGTGGTCGCCCCTGGCTGCCGTCCAGGCTCTGTCCCACACGTGCATGTGAACATCCACCAATAAACAAAAATAGAAGTGTACCTTCATGAAATGTATGTTCAAGTGCATTGCCTTAGGGGAAGGAGCAGGCAAGAAGCATAAAAAACTGAAATAAATATCAAATCATGATAATATTGATGCCTGGATCGGCGCTGAGACAGCCGCAGTTTCGGCAGCAGTGTAGCAGCTAAGGCCCTGGCTGCTGGGGCAGGGCCTGGGACGTGGTTTCGGCCACAGCCAGCCGCTGTGCCGGGACGTTGTTGCAGCTCTGGCTGTGGTGAGCCAAAACCTGCTGCCACTGCCACTGCCACTGCTGCCACCTGTGTCCAGAGCTTCCATGCAAATGGACAAAGAAAGTTTATTCGAGCTAGCTCGTCCCCGGGGCGGCTTGGCTCCAGCTGCTGCAGCTGCTTTGGGAGTGAATCAGTAGATGGAAGATCTTGTTCTCTGTCTCTCCTCCTCTGTGTATATCTAAGTTTGCGATAAAAATAAAATAAATCTTTAAAAAAATATAGTTATTTTAATTTTATTTGCAAGACAGAAAGACAGAGCAAGACCTCCCATCCCGGAATTTGATCTAGGTCTCCCACCGGGTGCTGCAGCCCAGGGATTAACCTCTTGTCTGCTGCATCAGCAGGGGAGCTGCCAGGGGAGCACGACCCAGGTGTGGGAAGCCGGTGCCCTAGGGGCAGCCCAACCACTGCACCAAGCCCTCGCCTTAAGGATACTTTTTAAAAATAAAAAATAATTGTCACATGCATAGATAAGTCACTGAAATGGGAGAATCTACATGCAGAGTATCAGTTGTAGGACTTAAAGATGCAAGATTTACACAGCAGGGCAGCTACAGTGCCATTACAGGAAAGGGGGTGCGTTCAGACAACACCCCCTTGGAGTCAGGAGGAAATAGCCCGAATCCAATCTACCATGGAAGTGTGCTACACAGCATCAGGTACCCAGGTCCGGTCCTCGTGCCTGTTCCTTGCTCATTTGTTCACTGCAATGATACTGGATTTTATATCATAAGGATATAAAATCAACAGGGTACATAAATGTCAAGCAGATCTAGTCTTACACTCAATGATATGTCTCACATATATGTCTAACAAAATATTCCGCCTATTTTACCGTGAAAAGGTCTTTTTATTTTATTTTGGAATGTTAAAATATTCCAAATTGTTTTACATTTAATGAGGGTCCATTCTAACTATCTTAAAACACCAGTGTTTGTATATTTAAAGTGTTTAAAATTAGGTCATCCATAATGATCTCTGTGTTATGTTGTATACATGTATTGCTGTATATACAAAATGCATATATGCAGATATACACTTTAAAAAATTTAAAAGAAACTTTACTCAAAAGTGGAACATAATTGGAAACAAACCAAATTCATTTTCAGCCCAATATAGTGATGAATTTAGGTCATAATCTATTTTTACTGCTTTAAGAAGTGAGTTCATGCAGCCAGCTCAGTCAGGATTCTATTTTTCACTGATTCCACTGATTAATCTTGTCCTAAGCTGACCAGTTCTCTGGTGGAGTTGGTCCAGTGGAGCTGAGGCATGTCTTTCTCTGTCGTGATTGGCACTAGTGATCTTTTTGTGCATTTGAAATTTATTAACTTCCAAACCACAGATTTAACTGTTGAACTGGTGGTGATAGTTGACAAATGGCAAGTTTTGAAATAGAATCCATGCTTTTTGAAGGCTCGTTGGATAAATTTACAGTGATGTCAGTGTATCACGTATTATTGGTACAGGAAATAAAAACAAACTTAAAAGGAGTTTCTTGCAAACAAATCTGCCTGGTGTACCTGCATCACCCTTGTGTTTCAGGATTCACTGAAGTCCCGCACTGCCTAGTCTCAGGTCATCTGTTGAATTGAGATATCTGAATATCTGGTGAAAAAGTGCATGTTTGTACCAGGATGAGCGACTGTTGTGTTTTATTTGATCCACTGTGAGCTGCAGATATTATACCACACCTGGGACACAGCCTCTGGCTGCTCCGGATGGAATGCGCTCTGATGGTGCCTTGATTTACAGAGAGAGGCGTCTGCAGCCCCACTCTTTAGCATCCCTCTGACCGTATTGTGGGAAACGCGGGCTGGCCTACATCTCTGAATAAAAGAGGGAAGATGTGGTAGATGGACAGATAGCGTGGTCCACTATCATCAAGGTGGACCACTGTCATTTAGTTTGTTGACATCACTGCTTCCAAGTGTTTTCTGGTTAACTCTGTGAACCAGTTCATGACCGACTTTCTTGAAAGCGAAAGCAGCTGCTCTTTCAAAACTGCCTACGGAGTTGACCTTACTTCATAAAAACAAAGAAATAAAAGCCTGAAAACACGCAAAATGCTTAATCAACTTAAAGGAAGTCCATGTTTACAGTTAGACCTTGTGAATTATTTTTTAAAAACCAATTGTAGATAGTTAACATAGTGATGAAAGACTGAAATAATACAATACAGGTATACAGCTTTAAAAATCTACCTATTGGATAATCTCTGACTCTTAAGTAACAATATTATTACATGAATTTCCTTTCTCTTTAATAATGTGTACAATTCCTTCCCCATAGCATCTGTTCTAAATCAGACTATTTTCCCCTTGCTTTTAAAACCAGGTCAAGGTTAATCTCCTATTCCATGTTTGCTTTCCAGGCATTAGTCATGAAGCTGCTGATGAAAAGGTGATTTTTGGCATTGAATTTAATTCAACTTTTCTGGAATGTATACCTAAATCCCAGCAAGCATCCATTAAGTGGTATATCCAGCGGTCAGGAGACGAGCATGGAGAGGAGGTAAGCCCAAAGGACATCCACCTGAGAGAATGTAAAACTTAAATCTGGGTTCTGGTGGTGAGGGATGCTCAACTTCTAATAGTATATGATGCTATCATCATTCTTTGATAAAAATGAAATAATTTATGCTCATGAACACCAAAATTCATTTGAGATAAGAACAGGCCAACTTAAGATGAATGTCTTAAAAAACAGATCTGAGTATTTCTCAAAAAAAATTTTTTTCAAAATTTTAGGTTCTCATGGAACCAGATTCTTAAAGAACAGTTTCCTAATCGGGAGAAGCATAATAACTTTCTCCCCAGAGTATCCAAATGGCAAAATTTTAACTCACATTATATTCAATTTAGGCTTTAAAATAAGGCATGCTGGTTTATATTTAAAATATTGGACACACACAGATATTAATACAAAGAGAACAAATGTCATGTAGCTCATAAATAAAATCTTAAGAGAATGTTAATACTTCTAAAAATATTTTGATACTTCCCTCCTTTTTCCTTCACTTTTGCCTTAATTTTAATGATAACATTTTAAACTTACTTTATGCCCACAGTTTAATCTCTACTAAATCAAGAACTAAACAACTAAGAAATAGAAAGACCACTGTTCCATAAGAGTATAAACAAAGGGCTGTAAACTATAATTACATTATGCTAGTTTCACTCATGAATATCAAATATTTGTTATTCTATACATACTGGCTACTGTTGATCAGAGAAAGCATGTGGCTTTTGTGATTTTTGTCTGGCCTACTTCACTAGACATTGTGTCTTCCAGGAAACCAATTTTCTCGCTAAAGGTAGGATTTTATTCTTTCTGTATGGCTGAGGAGTATTCCATTATATATTATATACATTTTCTTTACCTAGTCATCAAATGATGGGCATCTGGGTTGGTTCTGTATCTTAGCTATTGTGAATTGATCTGTCATAAGTCTAAAAGCACAGGTAACTCATAAATAGGCACATTTCATTTCCTTTGGATATGTTCCTACAAGTGGAATGACTGGGTCATATGGTAGATCGATTTTTGGATTGCTGAAGACTCTCCATACGTCTTTTGCAATGGTTGTGCTGGTTTACATTCCTACAAATAGAGTATTAAGGTACCCCTTTCTCCACATCCTTTCTGGTATTTGTTGTTTTTCAATTTTTGGATGGTAGCCACACTTACTGGGGTAACATGAAACCTCGCTGTGTTTTTATTTGTGTTTTCCTCGGGGCCAGTAATCTGCAGCATTTCTTCAATGGCCTGTTGGCCATTTGTATTTCGTCATTTGAACAGCGTCTGCTCAAATCCTTTGCTTCATTTTTGACTGGTTTGTTTTTTTGTTGAGCTTCCTTAGTTCCATATATATTGTGTCCATTAAACTTTTAGCAGGTGTGTAGTGTGTATGCTTTCTTCCGTTCTGGTGGCTCCCTCTTCCAGGCTCCTGCTGGTGGCCTGACCCTGTCTGGACTGTTGTGACCATTTTGGAAATTGAACCAGTGCATGAAAGATGTCTCTGTCTCCATTTCTTCCCTTTTCTTGGTTGCTCTGTCACATAAATTTGTAAAAATTAATTAAGCAGAAAGAAAGCTACTATGGGTACTCTATGCTTTTAGTTTCTTCTTGTTTTTCTATCATACATACATGACAAAAACATATTACAGACATCTGTGAGATACACAGCTGTAATATGTTACTGCTCTTAGTAATCCGAGAAATCCTAAGCTGCTATTATCTGAATCTCATGGAATAAAATTTATTTATGGAGCTTGCAAAAGAGAAATGAATGATGCTCAGAGCAAAGTTCTAAAATTCCAAGCATTAATGGTCAGAGCATGGGAATGAGTAATGACAAGAACACGGGGTTGAGAATTAGATGACTTACGCTGAAACAAGGACCAGAGACCCTTGGTTTCATCTCCAAGTAAGTGGGTGCCAGAAGTTTCTAAAGTGAACAAAATAAATTCCAATGTTACTGTTAAGATGAGGAGGCAGGATTTCAGAGCAGAAGCTCTCACAAGTGTGAAATACATTGTGAGGGTATGGTGATCCTGCGTCAGTGAGGCCATGTGGAATAGGCAATAGGGCTGTTCAAAATCTGCTGATTCTGACTGTGGCCTGACTGCCAAGGGGTCCTGTGCAGGTTCTAACTTCTCTAGCTCACCATTTCTTTGTCATAAGTAAGTGCACCAGATTTGTCTAAAACTCCAGCCCCATGACAAGTCTATAAACATTTAAAATAGTCAATGTAATCAGTCAAGCGTTCCTATGGAATTGGAGGGCTCAACCCCAGGCAACCCTGCTCCCCTAGTGCTGACGCTCGGCAAAGTCTAGAGACATTTTGACCATCACAACTCGGTGGGTGGGTGGGTAAGTAGATTCTACTGCTGGTAACTGGTTGGTGAAGGTCAGAGACAGAATTATACACCACATAGCACTCAATCCTTCACAATGAAGAATTGCCTGGCCCCAGTGTCACTACTGCTGAGGTGGAGAAAACTTTAAATAGAGCAATGAAATTTTATCTTAAGCCATTGGTTTAGATAGAGTTCCACTGTTATATAAAGCAGTCAACCTCATTCTCTTTATGTAAAATCTGCTATATCTATCATGATGTTGGCTGTTTACTTATTTACTACTCAGGGGAATGATTTCATTTTTATTATGGCTAATTTCTCTGATCTAGTGCTGTTTATTATTCATTACCAAAATTAATAAATTATGAAATCATGCGAATGTTTATGCACTATTTTAAGGGTCTTGTTTTTACATACATGCATTTATATACATTTATATACATGTATTGGAATATTATCTGATATAGAAGTAATCATTTAATTTCAAAAAGTAAGACACTTACTTTTATCCTGGAAAAATTACAAAAGTGCTATCAGTTATTTCAATATAGATGATTTTTTAATATACTTTGATGCCACTAAGCTAGAATTTTCAATTTTATACCTACTAACGCTTGATGGTTGGTTCTCATTTAAAATAGTTCTTTAATACTTTTTTTTCTCCCTGGTTATTTTCTTGACTTTTTCCCTTCAATGTGTTGCTCTGTTTAGGTTGGTCTTCCAGTTACAGAATCTGTCATTTGCCTGTGATCATTTGCGATCAGCTTATTTTGTTGTTCTGAAAGTGCTGCCCATCGCTTTCATGTGCCTTTGAACAGCATATCAGAGTCGTGATGGTACCATGCTCCATAAATTTCAATGGAGCAGAAACGGTGTATTGATTGAGTTTTGCTGAAAAATATCTTGGTTATAATATTTCAACTGGCATTTCCATCTGCCTTTGCAGAGGGGCAGTTCCCCAGTGCCCAGGGCACACAGAGTTTCAGAGCTCATGAAAGGCCAGCATTGAGACTCCATGTGAAATGCTTCCCAGCAGGATGCCTCCTGCGCCTCACCCATGAGGTCATGGTCTGAAATCTTTCCTCCACTTCTAGCAAGCTGGAGGGAAGGGTCCTTATCCCCTGGGCATAGAGGCTGTCACCAGCTCCCTCACTGCTCAGAGAACATTTCCTTGCTGGGCTGTTTCACAGTTGGGTGCTGCTGGGGAGGTCATGAGTCAGTCATCTGGTGACTTTCTTAAAAAGCTATTCTCAAAATTGATGATGTTTATGCTGTAACCAGCAAGTGAATCGAGTCAATCAGGAGTCCCGGTGCTCCGATTGAACTTTTGAGATCTGAATGAATGAAATAGGCAATGCCTTATGACATTTATTGAACCAACTTTTCTCTGAGGATGTTAAGATTTTAAAATATCTTCAAATATTTTCGTTTTTCCATTGGTAGAACTTGTCCTTTTTACTATTAAAACAACACACATGGTTTTAGATTTACAGTAACCTATAAAGAAGAGCCCTGAGGACATCAACTGTAGATAAGCGTGGCTCATGTTTTGATGTCTGGTCCAGCTTTTTGCTCGCTAGCTTTTGCCTGTATCATTCAATGTAACGTACTTTCTAGCCTCCCACCATCTCGCTGTAATGCCATGGATATTCGCGAGTATTCAAGGCATCAGTAGTTATTGCTCTCTCTTAAGATAAGAGCAACACATTTTTCCATATATAAAGCTCTTCTTGACTTTTCTAACTCTGCTTTTAGGACAAATTTGTAGAAATCACATTAAGTGAAATAAAGAAACTCTTCTTTAAGTTTCTAGTTTGTTGCAAATTTCCCATCAAAATCACAGTTACAGTGTTCTGAATTCCTGAGGCAAAACTGTGCAGCATAATTTAAGAAAGTGCCTGTTACTCTGATGAAGAATGAAGTGTTAATATTTATTTCTTTGAGGGGTATTGTGTGAATATAGCCTCTCTTGTTTCTTAGATGTTGCTTTCAGTTGTGGTTGGTGGATTGTAGTGCCTGCCATTTGCCTAGTTTGCACTGAGAAAGCTCATTTAAAGATGCTTTTTAACAAGCTGTGTGTATAGCATTGACATTAATTTAATGTCACACACACATCACAAGTATCTTTGTTTTATGGTTTTCTTAGTCTATGCTTCTAAAACTTCCTTTCTTTCAAACATTTTGTGTCTTGCTTGGGAAAAATCTATTAGTTTAGAGCTCTGTAATTTCTTAGCTAGTATTCTTAGAGAACTCATATATATATATATATATATATATATATATATATATATATGTTTGTATGTATGTTCCACTTACTTTTGGATTTTTTAGTATTAAAGCTTTACATTTTACAGTTACTCAAAAGTTAACTTAGTGCTTCTAATGCATAAATATGATTTTTAAATAATATTGAGCTAAACACTTCATTGTCTTTAGTAAGTTTTTTTCTGTTATTTTGCTGAAAACATTCATGATTGATTTTGTGGTATATTAAGACATACCTTATATACAATATGTCAGTATCTTCTGAGAAACTAAAAGTAACCATGCATACGAATGATTCAACTCTGGCCTCTTTTCTCCCATGTTAAATTGGAAAAGTTTCTAATTGTAATGTGCTTCACATCGAACACAATAGAAATTTTAGCACTGTTTTATAGACATTTTTTTTTGTGGTGGAGACTTTGTGCTTTAGGTAATCCTAATTTTCCCCCCAGTAGCATTTTCTGATCTTGGAGAAAGGAGATACTCTTGAACTCTCCCAAGACATGTGCATTGCATTAACCATGAAAGCACTGGCAGGTGAATAATTTTGAAGATGAAGTCCCTGACCTTTACCTGCTATTTAGTACTTGAGTGGACTCTGTCCCTTCTATGCTTCTCTTCTTGTTTGAAACAAATGGCCTTCCCTAAAGATCTCCATTTAATAATGCCAAGTACATTAACATCACCCACCTCAGGACGGTGAATAGTCAACCCACAGGCATGCATGATTCTGAGTTGTAAGGTTGGGCCATCTTTACTTATCAATCCTGAGGAAGTGTCTGGGTCTCGGTCCACGGCCAAGGGTGACAGTACCCTTCATGGAGGAGGGGGTCCGGTCCACGGCCAAGGGTGACAGTACCCTTCATGGAGGAGGGGGTCTCGGTCCACGGCCAAGGGTGACAGTACCCTTCATGGAGGAGGGGTTCCGGTCCACGGCCAAGGGTGACAGTACCCTTCATGGAGGAGGGGGTCCGGTCCACGGCCAAGGGTGACAGTACCCTTCATGGAGGAGGGGGTCTTGGTCCACAGCCAAGGGTGACAGTACCCTTCATGGAGGAGGGGGTCCGGTCCACGGCCAAGGGTGACAGTACCCTTCATGGAGGAGAGGGTTTTCTAAAGTGACTGCATTTCGGTTTCACCGCTGAGAGATGGGATTGGCCTCACACATTCTAAACAAAGCATGAGGGAGGATGAGAATGCAGAGTATGAAAATGGTCAGCTAACTTACTGTCTAGGGCGAAGTTCGTTATCTCTAAATTGCAAAAATCCTGGAGAAAATATGGCCATTCAAAGCATTTTCTTACAGATTCTGTTTTACTGAAGGCATACTTTTGCAATTTCAGGAGGTCAAAAAATTGGTTACATATTCTAGTAGATATTAGGAAAATCCAGAAATCCAAATATTTTTCAAAGCTAGTTTTAGAATGTTTTAAACCTGTAGGTCAAGCACCAAGACCCAAACTGAGCATTCCGTGAAAAGGGGGAAGGTGAGGGATCATGACCGAGTAATGAATTGCCAGGTGTTTATGAAATTCCGAGCCCTGTAGGGACGGAGCCAGAGTGAGCAGAGAGCGAGGGGAGGGACGAGACCTCTGGGCAAAAGAACATAAACAAGGATAGCACAAATCATGACCCTGAGGTTGTCATTTCCCCCCGGCGGGAGATTAGAGTGAACAATGGAAAGTCGAGAGAGGAGCTGTGACAGGCTCTAGCAGCATGAAACGCGGTCCAGCCGTCACCAAGGAGAGCAGTTATGTGAAGAAAACCCAGCCCTGAACTGGAGCAGAAGGTGTCCACTTTGATCAGCATGCTGGCCGCCTCGGGCCGCTTCCTGTCAGGAGGATTTCAGAGGTAGAAGCTTGAGAGCCTTACCTCCGAGGCACAATGGTGTCCGTCTGTGATGTGGCTCAGGCTGCCGCACCCTGGAACCTTCAAAGAGATTTGCGCCTAATCCCCCCCAATGCACCATAGGCTGCGCGGCCATCCTGGGAGATGGGAGAGTGATGGGAAGATAAATGAGTCATGCTAGGAGGCCGGGCAGGCTCAGGCCAGGAAAGCAGTGCTGGGATACCTGAGACTGACTGACTGAAATCTTTCTCAATGAAGTGTGTTTAAAAAAGAAAAACAGAGTGTGTTAAGTTTGAGAATACCATATCATGTAAGATTGGCCCTTCAGAAGTTCAGCAATTCAAGGCAAAATGTTCTGTAGGCCTGAGGAACCCAGGAGTTGCTGAGAATGAATTCAAGGTCTGTATCTCTTACACCACTGTTTAAAGATGCCTCAGCATTTGGAATAAGCCCATCAGGAAACAAAAGTGCAATGCCTCTCACTCCACAAAGGGCCAAACAGACCTTCCCTGTTGGTGTGGCCTCAGTGCCGGGCAGAGGCGACCCGGAGAGCATGCTGCTTCACGCACTAGGCCTCTGAGCTGTGTGACCTGCATGTGGCCTGCCTCGAGCCCTGCCAGCTGCACCGCCCTGGCCCAGAGGGTGGCTCAATATAGACTTGCTAGTTAACTGGGCCAGATGCCAGCAATGTTTCTTTCCTTTTCTCATATTTCCAGAATCAGAGGGATTTTTTTTCCCTACATATTTTCCACATAGAGATGCCGAATATAGTCCACCCACTGTGAATAAATTTAATTTAGCCTTCTTTTAGGCCTCCTTGATTTCCATCAGCTCCAAGTCCACCATGCAGGGACAGATGTGTAAACTGGGAAATTTTCCAGACATCTTTGTTACTGTGTTGTTGTCATTCTGCTGAATGCCCAGCCTCTCAACAATATGCCACATTGACTAGAGCTCTGGTGTGGGTCAGCCTGCCTCCAGTTTGACTGGAGATCGTGTCCCCATTCACACCAGTCTGTGGTCCAAGCTGATTGTTTGAATACCATTGCTTCAAAGACCAAAGAGCATCACATCTCCGAGCTGATTCTTTCTGTTTCTTTTGCTTTCTCACACTTGGAATCACACTGCCTCGTTATGCTATCCCGAGGTATGGCAAACATTTCCTCAAATGACACAGTCTGATGTATCAAATGTACTCTCAGTATCAAGATTCAATCCAGAGTCAAAAGGGAAATTCAGCTTTAAATGTTGCTAATCTTCTGATGATGGTCCTGCTGTTACGGTGCTGGGTCCACGCCTTTCCACTCGGCTTTTAACAAGTCACTGCTTACGAGTTCCATCTGCCTTTCAGACCATGTGTTTGGTGAGACCCGGAAAACAGAGACAGGTCCTTTGTTCTCTTCCAAAGTTGAGTTGATAGCATGCTCTAGTGCTGCTTTTGTGCACGATGACTGTGAACTTCGCATTCTGCCTCTGAAATGAAATGTCAGTCTGTGATCCTAGCACGCCAGTTAGTCACTGAAGTCTCTGCAATGAAGTTCAGAGTAGAGTCTCCAGCTTTCACCTCTCAGCTTTTGCGCTCCTCTCTGTACACCGGGAGAAAAGCTAACTCTATCCTCAAGTCTAGGCTAAAAAGAAAAAAATGTGAAAAATTTGTATGTGAAAAACCATGCTTTGGGACCATGATTGTCAATAGATTTGTTCACCTCTTCAACCATGGCTGACAGTATAATGCCTGATGATAGAGAGACTTGGAATCTATCTCTCAGTTTCAGCTCAGCTACGTGGCCTGTTTTTGTGTGCTTGTAGCTCTCTGTTTTTAATTTATTACCTCCATTTTTCCAATTCCGCAGTTGAAACCTGATGAAAGGATCATCAAAACGGAGTATGGGCTACTGATTCGAAGTCTGCAGAAGAAGGACTCTGGGATGTATTACTGCAAAGCTCAGGAACACAATTTCATCCACACCATAGTGAAACTGACTTTGAATGTCATTGAGAACGAACAGATGGAAAATACCCAGAGGGCAGAGCATGAGGAGGGGAAGGTCAAGGATCTGGTGGTCGAGTCACGGTTGAGATACAAAGACTACATCCAGATCCTTAGCAGCCCAAACTTCAGCCTCGACCAGTACTGCGAGCAGATGTGGCACCGGGAGAAGCGGAGGCAGCGGAACAAGGCTGTCCCCAAATGGAAGCACATGCAGGAGATGAGGAAGAAGCGGAATCGAAGGCATCACCGGGACCTGGACGAGCTTCCCAGGACTGTGGCCACCTAGCTTGCTGTTGAACTTCAAGAGTCGATTCTTAACCTGCACACACACTGTCTTCTGTTTTGTACTTCCCTTATACTAACTCTTCCATGCTTTCCAGGGAGTTTGGCTAAGGTACAAGAAGAGTCATCTAAGACCACATAGGGTGAATGTGGGAGTCAAGGTAACAGTTCATCTGAACCTGTTTTCCAACAACAGAACATGCGCCTGCAAAGTGCCAGAATTCTCTTCAAAACAGGGACTCTGCGTTTGTTAATGTTACAAGTTTTTTGAGTTAAGTAATGCACAGAGTGTACCTAAGCAACCCTTACATTTGATGTTGGATTAAGGTGCTTTATTCTCTTGCATGTCCATCCCATGCAGCTTTGCTGGGTCCTTAGTAACAGATGAGATTCCCCGTAGCCACGCTCTCTGGAACCGGCTTTGTTGTAGAAAGTGGAAGCAAGACACAGATTAGAAGAGCTCCCATCATCCACTGGAGCTTTCCCAGGGAACCATCCCCTTTGTCGAGCCGGGTGCAGGAATTTGGAGATGGGCATTACTTCTTGCAGGCCCTAGGATTTACGTCCGTTTTTGTACAATGCTGATTTACTGAAGGATGTTCAGTTCACCCCGGGATTCCTTAGGACTCTTGAGGAGTAACAGGTTCGCACAAGTCCGTTCTCAGTTCAGAGCTTGCGATGGCATGCTCTGCTCTTCAGGGACAGACTGCGGAGTGCGTGTGGCAGTAAGATATGGGAGGAAATGGGAATACAATCATGGCTACATCATGATGTAGACTACACCCTGCTGGGGAGAATGTTGATGACATTTGCTGAGAGGCGGAAGGAAAGACAGACATAAATTCTGGCCTTGGGGGAAAACTCCCCATGAAAAGGAGGAAGAACTGCAAATAAGTTCAACTTCTGTAATGAATCTGTTGTCACTGGGGTGTGAGTGTCTGCCAATTTGTAGTCCATCTGGTTTAAAAAAAAAAACTTAAACTGCCAGTGAAAGCCTGAGAAAAAGTAGATTTTCTAAAGGATCATGGAGGGGTGAAGACATTTTATTTATAACCAATGATATTTCAGTATGCATTTCCTCTCCTTTTTCTAAATATTTATCATACCTTGTATATTATGCCCATTTACAGCCTTTATTCTCTCCTGCTTATTGGACTACTGGGTTATATTTGAGTGGTAGGAAAAACTCAACAGAGAGAGAGAGGTGGAGTGAAGTAGCCTGTAGCAGAGGGGCGGGGGGTGTTCTGCGTTGAACAGAACAAGTGCAAAATTTCGACAACGGAAAGGGTTAAGTGAACTCTTTGACAACTTTCCTTCACACAACCTTTTTTTGTGTGTGATTCTGCATTCTGAAGTGATATTCTGTTATTTAGTAACATTGATTTAGTAATTTAACAATCAAGAAGTCTGTCACAGGTGTAGAAACTAGACTGACCCACGTGAACAAGGAAGCCTTTCCAGTTTTGTTAGCACTTTGAGATGTTGCCAGCTCAGCTTTGTTTCTGAGTCGTCATGGTGTGTTTCCTGTCTGTCCAAGCGCAGTCTCACCTTTCCCCCCCTAACCCAAACGCCCAACCTTTCTCTGTTTGGCCTTTTCACGCCAGTTAGAGTGTGAAATGAAAAATTAGTCACTTCCTCAAAGGGAAGACAGCTTTTTAGAAAACTAAATAACAGACGTTGCTTGTTTCTCATCCTTGCTTTGAAAGAAAATCTGTGAGAAAACCATGTGGTTGGAGGACGGCTTCTCGCAGGGTCCGCGTGACTGGCTGTGTGCTCAGAGCATCCTCTCCCTCTCACATCCACTTCCCGTGTCTTACCTGTCTTGGAGGAGTCAGACTGACCAATGGGGTGGAGCTTCCTCATGAGATATCAAACTTGTGAATATTGGTAGCTGCTCCATTGGAAGGAAAAGTGAAGGAATAACTGAAATATTTTTCATGCATTGGAGCAAATCCTTCTTGAAAACCCAATAGTTGGGATGCTGTATTAGACTACTACCTAGCAACATAACTGGAGTCTTGGTCATTGTTAGTATCCTGGGATAAAATCTTCCAGGATTTCCTAGCAAAGCCCAAAGCAAATACATGGAAACAGGTTTCATTTTTGAAAAGAAAAATTCCAAATAATTGTGTATCTGGCAGTACTGATTAAAATATGAATAGTTTTGGACAAAGTATATAGGGTACAAAAGTTCAGATTGCTTTGTGAAATGACCAAATTTATGTTCATCCACATATAGATGGCCTACCCATTTTTGAAATCTTTCTAATAATAGTTCATTGGGCAAGATTTGTGTGACCTCTTTTATGCCTAAAATTGTGGCTGCTTTGCATATAAAATTGTTAATTAAAATATTTGAAATATTTAATAAATTTTTATGTAAAAATTAATGGGCAAAGATTTATGTGTTTTTCTAAAGACGGGGGCATCTAAATAGCACTTAAGTTTTAAGACTGAATTCTCTAGAATGCTTAGAGGAGCAGTGTGAATATATTAAGTCTGCAAACACAATCTGTTCTGTTTCACCACTGAAAATTTTACCAAAATTTCTTTGAAATAATGAAGAATCAACTCATAGTTAAGAGCTTCAAATATGGTAAGAAATCAGTTCTCTCTGGAAAGGGTCTTAAAATGTCTGTTTATTCTTGGTTTCATATTTTTCTCTCTAGTCTTCAGTACATATGTCTTTTGACTTCCTTGTGTGTTCTCGCCTGCATTTCATTCCAGCTATTTCTGCTGCTCAATGGAATCCCGCCCGTCTGCATTCATTTACATTCAATTTATCAAGAATTTGAAGACTTTGTTTAGAAATGGATAGTCTTAGTAATTAATTTATGCAGAGCATTTTTTCTTAAAGAACTCAAAACCAAATAACCCAAGAAATGGAAAAATAGCACATAACCCAAATGTAGTAATTTCCAAAAGCCACAACAGTAGTGCAAGAGCTATGGTTGATGCCAAGTGTCATTGTCATTGTTCTCTTGGCTACGGTAACGCTCATTTGCAATGTGCTGCTACTAAATTGACTTCTGGATTTTGCCTTTCTTTGCCATTTTGGTTATTCATATACCATTGCCTTGGTTCCTGCTAAAGTTAGTAGACTTAGCTAGAAGTTGACAGTAGTACCTGAATCTCAATATGATCAGAATGGAATTACTAAAGACAGATTGATGTCATCCAGATTTTTATAGAAAAAATCCAATAGTATTTATGACATGGCAAATTTCTTTAATATAAGATGCATTTTACATGTACTTGAATATGAATGAAAATAAAAAACTGACATAGCCTCTTTCTGAAATATGGCATTTGTCTTTGAAAATATATTGGAATAGACTAGCTTTTTGCAAATAACAACTAAAAAAAATGAAACGCATTTAATAGGTATATTTTTCTCACAGCCGAATGAACAAAATATGTAAATAGTTCCACTTGCCTGTGAGGTTGAAAAAATCTAAAATTCCACAATTCTATGAACTGAAAGTACACAGAGAGGAGTAGGCAGATATATTTCCTTTAAATATTTGTAAAAAACAAAAGTATCTGTACTAAGCTTAAACTAAGTGATTTCTGGGGACAGGACAAAAATTTATTAGAAGCCATAATTAATTATGTAATTTAATTGTTGTACTGGGAGTGACTGGCCATAAATTTAGAATTTGTAGTTTTGCTATTTCAAGGTAAATGCAGTCTTGTATAAAATTGTTAGAACTTGTTAAATGTATATTTTGGTTGAATTATAATAAAACACAAACATTTGTGTTCTGTGCGTGCACAGAGTGTTGGCTTGTGTGTCAGTTTTACTTTTACACGCTAATGGTAAAATACACACACAGAGTGTGAGTTATATTAGATGACAAATCAAAGGAAATATTTCCTGAAAAATTTCAGTAGATGCTTTTGCAGCTTAATATGCAATGTTTTAATTTATGAAAGAAGCAATAAATATCTCTCCTTCCTTCATACAAGTTTATAGTGAAGCTGTTTTGTCATTTAATTTCGATTTTCACACACTGAGGTAAACATTACCATCTAGAGTACAAAGGCATTTGAAGAGGTTTGCAAAAAAAAAAAAAGGCATTAGAAACAAGTGTATTGTGTTGCAAAAGATATTGAAATACAAGAGTAATGTTTTTCAGAGAGAGAGTTTTCTTTGAGTTTTTTGAAGTGCCCTTGCAAACGGGCCTTTTATGATTTCCATTTGTCATCTAATCAAAGAAATTTTAAAACACTATGTTTTTCTGTGTCTTTGTATATAACTTACAAAAGTAGTAAGTTGAAGTTTTTGTCTCAAATTTTAATTGCAAAGAAATACACTTTTGGACAGTTTTGTGTATATGTGAAGGATATTTATCTTTGGAAATAGATATTACCACGTTCCCAGTAGTGTGGTGCTCAAATAACAGACACTGTTTAAGGAATGTCAGCCTTGCTGAAGCGCTGTGAACCTGAGTTTACAGAAAAGTATACTTTTCACAAGAACAAGTAACGAAAGGCACAAGTCTGAATCAGAATGTTTGTACAGATCAGAGCCTGGTCTGGTCCAGCTTTTTATCCTTTCCACACATAAAGGATGTGTGCTAATTCCCACTTTTAACTTTGCCCCTGGCCGCAAAACTGAAGAGAACTTTCAGCAGCACAAATTACCATGGGAGAGTCAACCTTTCCTGGTTATGTGTTTTTCCATAGTAAAATTAACCTGTAAGAGCTAACTAACCCTAACGCAGCTGAAGAACTGGAGTTACCGCCAGCAGAAATTTGTTCTGTTATAGTAAAAGCCTAGAAAGACGTGGCCATCAGGCATCCTTTACCCTGAACCAAAACGACAATTTCTTATTTTGTAAATTGATTTAATTTTCTTCCTCTCTCACTTTATGTAGTTCAAATCAATGTTCTCCGATTATGCAAACTTATATTCCCAAAATGCATATTTAAGTATGCTATCTCTTCACCACTAGGATCAGATAAAATGGAGAATGTGTAAAGGGCAAAATATTGGGCTCAATTTTTGCCCATCTCTGCATATAAACAAAATCTAC